CTTAAGTTGATTCAAGTAGAAACCAATTTCTTATTAGGCTTCTCTTCAAGCTTCTCCTCCCATACTTTCTTTTTTACTTTTATTTTTCTTTTCTTATTTTTTTTCTTTTTCTTTTTCTCCTTTTTCTCTTTTTTTTTCTTCTCTTTTTTTTTCTTTTTCAAGTGAGGATTATTATATCTGGATAGCCTTTTAATAATTTTGAACTTCATTGTTCACTTCTTAAAGTCAAAACTCCTTACTTTTCTTCACTTTATACATTCATATTAGTTTATGATTTTTCATAAAATTTCATTCTTTTCTTCTTACATGAAACTCTAAAATTCTTAATACTTCAAAAATACAATTTTCTTTACTTTAAATAGAAAAACATAATCTTATCCTTTCATACCAAATATCTTTAATTTTAGAATTAATCTTCATTATTAAAAACTTTTACCTAAATTTACCATAATATTTACAAACATAAATATAGTCATTTAAAGTTAAACTCCAATTCAAAGGTCATGTTACATTAATTTTAAAAATATAATTAATTAAGGACAAATAAAATTTAGTTTACTTCTTTTCAAAAGAAATTTTTCTTTTCCCCCAAACTTGCATTTTTTAAATATTTTACAATTAATTCCATAAAATGTAGCAGGAAGGAAAAGTAATTGAATCTACTAGCTACTACAACATCTTATCAAATTTATATATATTCATAATCAGGATAGAATGACTGCAGGAGAATGTAAATCTAGCCTAAAACATGCATGCAATAATACTAAACTAAAAGGAAGTATACTAGTTGTCACAAAATCATTACGAGTAACGCTACGCTCCAGAACCACAAGTAGTATGAAATGATAACATCATGTTCCTTATAAGATATTAGATGTCACAAAATCATTAACTAGTAGCAAAGAACACCCACTCAATATTCATATGAATCAAAGTAAACATTTAAAGGAAGAAGCATTGCTCAACAAAATTAAAGATCAATGTAAGACAAGAAAAGTAAAAAAAAGTTGAATTACATTTATATAACTTAAATATATCTGATCACGTCAAACGAGCTTTCATAAATGTGCCCATACTTCTAATTACATTTATCAAAATGATGCATTCCAGAATTTCTCCAATAAATTTTTTTCCCCTGATGCCAATATAACTACCATATATAGCAGACATATATAGCAGTCATACACCAGTATATTGATTTCAATAGCAGTCTTACAGAATATTGATGCAATAGAAAACATTCCCTAAACCACTGCCTTGTATAATAATCAAAATCAGAACAGGTATTTGGGTATTTACATAACAATCAAGGTCCTCAACCCATTTACAGGTAGCATAATTCCTGCTAGCCTTCCTGTTAGCCTTGCATAACAATCAAGGTCCAAAGCTTTCCACACAACTACCTTTTAAAATCATGAAATGAAATGAGAATATGACTTTTACAATTATCTGGAAATTTACATAGATACCACACAATTTTTATGAATATATATAACTAACAAATAAAAGTATGATAGTTACATTTATAACACTGGTAATTTCCCAAAAAACTAGTTACATTTGGTATGCTCAGCTAAATTGTTTTCCAACAACAAAATAGATTCCAACAAATCAGCAATATAACTTTGGCAAGTGGCTGTAATTTCCCAATTACCAGGTACACACGAATCAGTGCAAGAACCGCAAATAACAATTTTGTATGTCAGATCGGTTCTATAGTTAACATAGGGTAAAATTCCTTTTAGGATATATGAAAAGATCGGAATTGGGATATTTTGTTCACATATTTTTCCAAGAAACCCTAAAAAATTTTACCAGTAGCACAAACCCTAACCGAAAAACCATGAACAACACAGGAATCATGCGCGATGCTTCAAATATTTCGTGAAACCATCAGATCTACATCTTTACCAGCTTTCATCATTCTAATCAAAGTGGATCTAGCTTTTTACCATCTCATATCAATACTTTATGACCAAACCGTAAAATCAACACACAAGAAGACTACAGCAGACTTCATGAGGGAGGAGAGGAGGGAGGATCGAAGAGAGGAGACGAGAGAATCCCTTACCTGCGGAAAGGTTGTAGCGACGGAGAGACTGTATTGACGCGAAAGAAGGGCGAAGGGTTTGCTTTTCGTCGCGAGGGCAGCGAAGTAAACATTACCCCTCCAAACGCGGATTGGAGGGTATACCCGCGATTGCGTGTAGTATAAATGTTTAAACGACTTATTCAAAAATGTGCGAATCAAACATTAAGGCGGTGTTTTGCAAAATGTTGCCGCACATATAAGCTGTCCCAAAGGGGGCCTAAGAGTTGGAGAAGAGGAGTTCGAATGCATGGGAATGGAGTTCGCAGGTGCTGGAGAAAGATTTCCCATGCACTTTCTAAGGGAGTTGGCGCTATGGAATAAGACACCCGATGTAGTAGAGAATGAGGCCTAATTAAGTGTTTTTGTAAGATAAATTTCGTGTGAAATATATAAATTATTATTTTATGGTGTGAAACTTAAATAAATAGAAAATTTGAAACAGATTTAAGCTCAAATGAATTAGCAGCAACATCAGGATTTTGAATAGTTAAGTGAAGTTTATCTGCTATACGATTACCATAATCTTTTAAATGTCTCTGTCGATTTTTATTTATTTGATTATCTAAGTTATTTGCCATTTCATTCAAATTTTTAATTTCTTTTAGTTGTTTTTGAATTTTTCTAATAGTACGTTCTAATTCCGAATCGTAAGATACTAAACCTTCAGATCCAATATTTTGCATAAACAAGTATAATAAGCGAAGAAAAAATTTCTTAAAAATACTCTTAAATCTATAGTAATATATATATATATATTGGATTTTTAATATTATCTTTCTTAATACCATATTAATTAATTTTCATGGAATTCATCTTTCAACCAAACAGCTGCTAAAACCACCTCCTCATCCTCCCGCGAGTAGAGGAGTTCTACTTTCTCCGACGGGCGATCCATATTGCCACAGAGCCACTTGCAGTGGAAATCGTCCTCGCTGGTGGTTTGGATGGAGAAGATGGATGCATCCAAGCCAGAGCTGTGGGAGCTTGCCCACGAGAAGAAGCGCATCAAGAACCCTCTCGTCCCTATCGGTAATTCCCACCTCTCTCTCAAGGATTCCGTCGTTTTTTCGAAGAAACGCCCACTGAATTTAAATTTATTTATCGGATCTGAATTGATGCTTAGCTTCTACATTCACACCAAAAATTCTTTTTCTATCCCTTCGGCCTTCAGACACGAGAGCTTTTTGAAATGGGTGAAGGAAAAGAAAGGAACGAGGTCTTTGGGATGTTCGGTTTTTTTTATCATAGAGAATAACCATCAAACCATTAAATCCTGCATACATCCGAAACAATTACGTGCAGGTGATCTATTGATTTTTGCTTAGTATTATTGGATTTTAAATATCAGTAAATCAATAAAAGGATGTTGTAACTAATTATATTGGTGACTGATAATCTATATAGAGAATTTGATCAAGTCATCACTGTTTAACTTTAAATGGAGGTTCCTCAATCCATGTTAACTTCTTTGAAGTAACAGATGAAAGTTGGATTTAGTCACGTTCTTCATGTACCAAACAATATTCTGGGTAATCTTAACTAAGTCCCCCTCCCCTTTGATATGGATTGAATATATGATACATCTAATTTATAGAATTTATTTGCTTAGTAGAAATTAACTCTGATTTGATTTTCTGATGAAATGGTTTTGAATGCCATTTTGAACTTCATATAATTTTTAGTTAATTCGATCACATTTTTTAGCACTTCCTCAACCTGTTTACCTTCTTGAAGTGTTTTGTAATATGCTTTTTCTTTTCATTTAAGCAAGAAATAACTTATATATAATATTTTTTTGCCTAACAAGAATTAATTATTTTGGTGTTTGGAAGTTGGTTGTTTAAGAGCATTGTAGATACATAAAGGAGAAGAGTAAAAGAAGAATACATTTCAAAGAAATATCTGTTGAGTTATCCGCTTTAACATAATGTTATTTATCAGAACCAGTCATTTGGTCTCTGACAGTGCATTCATATGTACATGAAATAATGTATTGTTCGATGACTCATCTAAAGTTTTGCACCCCACATTTTTACATTCTATTGAAACTACATTTTCCCTTAAATACGTAATATCTGAATATATGCTATAGATTATCTTCTTTTCTATTCTATCGTTTTTTGTTACAGCTATAACTTCTTTTCCTTCTATTTGATTGGATGCAAATTTGGTAGGCAATGGATAGTAGTTTTCTGGGATGTATTTTTTTTATACTTGTGAGTGAAATAAATTTGATTTTTTAGTTAAATATGGAATTGTAAAAAATGGAAGAAAAGCAAATCTATTTTTCAAACTTGTAGTTAGCCTCCAAATTTGTTTAGGAAAAAATAAGTTTGACCCTTGCTTAGATCAAGTATTTAGGCTTCATTTGGCTTGAGCGTGTAGCTGTTCAAGAAATTGTCACTTTAAAGCTGAGTTTTAAAGCTTCAATAGTTGATGTTGATGATGTGTTTGAGTATCTTAATGTCAGGTTGCTGCTCAAAACTCTTAAATTATTGCCATCTGTCATGCTGCTGCTAATTGCTATTTTAAAATATTAATTGAGATATTTTATTCAGCGCTATAGGAAATGTTTTCTTTTGAGCACTTTTACTTGTTTATACATATTTGAGGCAAAGTTTCAATATTTTTTTTTCTATGCATTTAAACTTGAGCAGTAGTGCCTTCTTTTTGTTACTGATACTTGCAAAACAATACACGTGTAGGGAGAACACTAAGTGTAGGGAGAACACTAATGAACAGCTGAACATGCAAACTCTTTGTTCGGCAACATATATTTAAGTTAATATGTATATTCAGATAATTTCAGCCCATTTTTTCTGCAGCATAATATATAAAACTTTAGTAAACTATTAATTGAACACTATAAGTTATCATAAAGAAATAGCAATCAAAGAGAGAGTAAAATATTTTTATTGCCCATAACATCAAACATACCTATCAACAAACGTTCCTATTACAAAGATAATAACACAAAATGCAATAAAGATTAACAGTATATCCTTTTGAGCTAGGAGCATGGAGATATATGATGGACTTAAACACGGGTGAAGTTGACTTTTTGTTGGGCATGATATGCCTAAAGAAGATTCAAAGCCTTTGGTAAATTACATCATTGTATCCTCCATATGAACTTGAGTCACCTGGCATTCTTCCCAATATGTGTATCACCTCTCTCTCTGGCCTATCATCAGAATGTTTAACAAAAAATGAATGATTTTTAGTGGTAATTTAGTTATTGGGTTGTTATTATATCTTGTTTTAAATTGTTAACATGAATTTAACTAAACACACCATTTCCTCAGCTTCCTCCCCATCTACCGCGTCCCTCCCTCTGATCCATGTAAGGGTTGATATTTATTTTTACTTGTTGCCATACGTTTTGCCATACGTTGTATTCATCTCCTCAATTCACTCAACACTCTTACCTAAACTTTTTTTTTTTTTTTTTTGTTAAAAGGTAGCCTTAATGTATAAGGAAATGATAATTTTGTGAATAATTTAAAAGTTTTTATTTCATTTATAAACTATTGAATATAAAAGTATATGAAAATATATGTAAAAACCATAACGACACGTAGTCATCATTTTTGTGATTATTGGTAAATCTAACCTTTCGGTGTACCTTGAAATATAAAGACAATTACATTACACTATTGTAGCCTTAAGATTTTTACTAGTCTTTATGAAATGTACCTGTTGCACCGATGTCTAGCCTAAAGGTAATTTTATCTTTTGTGCGCCTAAGGGAAATTTAGTATTTTGCATTTATTATTTTTTAGTATATGTTTGGCTAATATGTTTAGGCTTTGGGTTATTTGTGAGATTATTGTTGTGAATCTTAAATTTAGGGTTTGTGAGAGATTTCCTATCTTGCGAATTGTAGGAATTGGAAAAGATTGTTTGTTTTTCTATTTATATGTTAATGATTGTATTATTTGTTTTCGAGAATAAAATATTTTTTTTCTTGAATTTATATGGAGAATTCTATCAAATTGGTACCAGAGCATCGATCTAGGAATACGAAGGGATATCGACTTATTGGAGAGGATTGTTGTTCTTCTGGAAAGAACAAAGATTGCAGATCATATCGATTGACGATGGAATCATGACTACATTATACAACTGTGATTTGAGCTTGAGCTTGCTGAGAAGCGACGGCGGGATCAATACTGACGATCACAACATACAAAGAATATGGCATACAAAAAATGTGGCTTACAGATGATCACAACGTACAATTGATCGTGACGTGCTAATGATCGTATATTCTCCTCCTCCCGCTCTGTCATCGTGATGCAATCACTATTAGAGCTAGCTGTGAAGCAATGGGGACATCTTGACATACAAGGCAAAGGATCGGGATTGCGTACAGGGGTAGAGTCACAATTTTCTCATGGCTGGGAGGCCAACATTGTGATCACGGGGTAGAAACGTGTGCAAGGAAGTGAATGAATTGCGACGTGCTGGAGTTCCATGCGTGCTTGATCGAAAACAGTGATTGGGATAGTAATGTAAAGGAGTTCTATGCCGCTTGCACAATCGGGATTTGCTGCGGATTGGAATTTCGATTGAGAGAGGCCAGCAATGGGATAGCGATGTTCAGAGTCCCACTTTGAAACCACGTACAAAAATTCTAAACATTGTGATTTCAACGTAAAGGAGTTCCGAAATCGTGCAGGGAGTAATGTTACTAAAAAAGTAAATGATTTGGAAAAGAAAATGGTGGAATATATGAGTCAAATCAGGTCTGGGATGGAGGAAAGATTCTCCATCATAGATGGGACGTTTTTCTTTATAAAAGATAGGTTTTTTCCATGGTAAGCAAAATTGAGGGCCAATTCGAGCGCTTGGAGGAGATCATGAGGAAACTTATCGTGATGTAATCCAAGACTTTGCCGGCAGCTTAGTTTGCTGACCCTAACCAAGGGTTGAATTTAGAATCCTTGGCTAAATGGAAAAAGAAAGACATCGAACGAGAGGAACATAAGAGAAAAAACATCCCACATCAAGAACTCCCTCCAAGTTTCCAATTGTGAGTATATTAGAGATTTCAGACGGAGGCAATTGGGTCGGAACATGGAGAAGAGATTATGCAAGGGGTATGAAAGAGCACGAAGAAGAAATGAGAGAAGCAGGGATGAGGATATGACTATGATCGAAGAAGAGAGTTTTGCCCTCAATACATGGGCGAAACGTTAGAAGGAGAGGAAGTTGTTATGAAGATGCTTGGGCTAGGAAGTTGAAGATGCCAATCTTTGAGAGGAAAGATGCGCGTGAGTGAGTGTCCCAGATGGAGTAACATTTGTCGAAGAATGAGCTAAATGGAGAGGAGTTCATGACCATATGATACCCGATCCACTTGTGGGAAGAATTAAATTATTGCTTCTTGCAATGTTTCTGAGTTATTTAGGAAGTAGACCTACACGAGAAATTTTTTGCATTGACTCATTAAAGGACTGCCATGGAGTATAGAGATAGATTCGAACTCTTGTCGGGACGCCTGAGGGGAATTTATAAAGTAGTATTGGAGGGGACCTACTTGAAGGATCTAGAGCCCGACATACATGTATCACTTTGGCCTTTGAGATCGAGAGGCTTGGGGGAAACTATGAAATTTTCGCAATTGGTTGATGATTATAGTGCAATGGAGCATGCTAATAGGAGCAACGTAGGTGGAACGTCATATCGAACTACTACAACCACAACCAATAGCTCAAATAGCTGAAGTTCAAGTCGGACTTTACAGGACAGGAATCATGGGTCACGATCAAGAGCAACACTCAAGCACCTTATAAAGACAATGCTTCAAGAGAAGCGAGCCAGGAGTTATATTTTTGGTGTATTGAGAAGTTTGCTTCATGATACCGTTGCAAGGTTTGAACATTACAAGTTCTCACAGTGTGTGACGTGGCGGTAGAGGGTGAAGAAACATAGACAATTGTAGTGGAGGTGGAGCAACCCAACTTTTTCCCACCTTAAGGAGACTGTGTCTTTTGGTAGGGGAGTTTTGTTTTGTCGGCCTAATC